TGTTATGTTCATTTGCACTACAGCAAAAATACTGGGTCTGATTATGATTACAGTTTTCTGCTAAATAAAAGCTCTAAAACTTACATTATCTTTGGTTTTTATGATCATTTTCTACCGTGATATACATACTGTTACTGTGAAGGGATACAGTTTATACCATGGTATCTGAGGTCATACCGCCCAGCCCTAGGGTGAAGCTTCTTGAACCGCCTCTGTTGGTGTGCCCCAGGGCAGCTGTGGCTAATGTAGCTATAGCGCTGTATAAGTTCAAACAATTCACCATTTGAACATCTGGTCAAGGGCATGGCTTCTTGGACATAATACAAGGATGACTTTTTGAACAGAGAGTAATAAGAGTATGACTCCTTAACCAGAAGAAAGTAGCTTCTTGAACAGATCAGGGTGTAGATTTTTAAACAGACTAACAGAACAGACCTTCAACATCCAGAAGCTTAATATTTCATCCATATTTAATCCCAAACTGTGTTGTGTTTGTAGGAATTAAAGCTGCTGCTGCATCGCTCCACACTGCTGAAAACACAAGGCCAGGTGCAGGATTACCTGGACTCTGTCATCACTATGATTTCCATGCTGCTCAAGGTAACACCACCCACTTCACATCCATTACCTGTGTGTGTTCCTGGACTTAAATAACTCTTATAATGTGTGTAACAGGTGGCCATGCAGCGGGCCAAGGTGTGTGTGCGATCTGTCAGTGTGTCAGGAAAATATCACCTGAGGCTGCAGAAGGTCATAGATAATGTGCCTGAGATCGCAGACCAAGAAACTGCTTACCTGGACAACACAGGTGTGTACAGGGTACAGTACCACAGTGTATAAACTACAGTAACACAGGTGTGTACAGGGTACAGTACCACAGTGTATAAACTACAGTAACACAGTGTATAAACTATAGTAACACAGGTGTGTACAGGGTACAATACCACTGTGTATAAACTATAGTAACACAGGTGTGTACAGAGTACAGTACCAGAGTGTATAAACTACAGGACCACAGGTGTGTACAGGGTACAGTAACACTGTATAAACTACAGTAACACTACAGTAACACAGGTGTGTAAAAGGTACAGTACCACAGTGTATAAACTACAGTAACACTACAATAACACAGGTGTGTACAGGGTACAGTACCACAGTGTATAAAGTACAGTAACACTGGTGTGTACAGGTTACAGTACCACAGTGTATAAANTAACACAGGTGTGTACAGGGTACAGTACCACAGTGTATAAACTACAGTAACACAGGCGTGTACCACAGTGTATAAACTACAGTAACACAGATGTGTACCGGAATTGGTACCGGTGCCAATTTTTGTTTATTGGTGCGTGTTTTTTTTAATTAATAACCTTTTTTTTTAAACATATTTCTCAATATATAAAATTAACAAATATCAAGACAACATCCAACTCTTTGTATTGTAACATCAGTTGTATAACTTATTTCTTTAAAGTGCAAACTCTTGAAAACAAGAAGACTGTTTTGTCTTTTTGCACAAATTAAAATCCAGCTCGATGTGTTTCTATTGATGTCATTTCCCCGCTAGAAAAAATGTGTGATGGAGGTCCATGGAAGACAAATAAGTTTAAATCAAATAAGCAAAAGAGGATGGAGTTAAAATAAATAAAAAGTATTCAGGCTACGTTTTGAGCATCCAAAACGTGCCCAACGCTTCAAGTTTGCTGCTTGTCAGGTCAGACATGTTCGGACTGTCGGGAAGAGCCTCTGTTTTTTTCCTCTGCCGGTCTCTGTTTAATGCTGGATGAAATAAAGAAAGTGGTGGTACTTTATTTACTTTGATCAAGCAAACGTCGTGCTCACAAGATAATTAATCCACCAGATAATTCAGAGGCGGTCTGTTCGGCGACTTTTACTCCAGGAGCTGCAAGCTGGCAAGCATTCAACCTACGTTCAGACCAAGCTCTGTTTACTGAACCAGTGGCTGCTGACATCATTACGTTCTTGCACGATGCTGCGTTCAGGACAAGCATGGAAAACTCACCACTCTTATGAATCCTTAGCCAATATGGTCGCAATGATGCGTTTAGGTACCGAAACATGGTACTGTTTGATGTTACGTGAATAGGTTCTCGGTAGTACCAACAGAATTCGGTCTGTACTTAAAAAAGTATTGAATGAGGTACCCATCCCTAAGCACAGGTGTGTACAAGTTAAAGTAACAGGTTCGAATAAATAACAGTAACACGGGTGTGTACAGGTTACAGTAACAGGTGCTTATAATTTACAGTAACACAGGAGTGTACAAGTTTAAGTAACAGGTTCGTATAAGTAACAGTAACACAGGTGTGTACAGGTAGGTGCTTATAATTTACAGTAACACAGGAGTGTACAAGTTAAAGTAACAGGTACATCTAAATAACAGTAACATAGGTGTGTAAAGGTTACAGCAGCACAGGTGCGAACAGTGTACAGAAACACAGTTGCGTACAGGTTGCAGTAACAGGTGTGCTTAAGTAACAGTAACACAGGTGTGTACAAGTTACAGTTCGACAATTTGGTCACCATACAGTTAAACCTTTGATCACCATCCAGTTCAATCTTTGGTCATGATACAATTCAACCTTTGGTCACCATACAGTTCAACATTTGGTCACCATACAGTTCAACATTTGGTCACCATACAGTTCAACATTTGGTCACCATACAGTTCAACATTTGGTCACCATACAGTTCAAAGTTTAGTCACCATACAGTTCAATCGTTGGTCATGATACAGTTCAACCTTTGATCACCATACAGTTCAACCATTGTTCACCATAAAGTTCAAACTTTAATCATGATACAGTTCAAACTTTGGTCACCATATAGTTCAAACTTTGGTCATGATACCGTTCAAACTTTGGTCATGATACCGTTCAAACTTTGGTCATGAGACAGTTCAACCTTTGGTCACCATCCAGTTCAACCTTTGGTCACCATCCAGTTCAAGTTTTGGTCACCATAGATTTCAGCCTTTGGTCACCATCCAGTTCAATCTTTGGTCACCATCCCGTTCAACCCTTGGTCACCATACAGTTCAGCTTTTGATCACAATACAGTTCAAGCTTTGGTCACCATACAGTTCAAGCTTTGGTCACCATACAGTAAAAGCTTTGGTCACCATACAGTTCAAGCTTTGTTCACCATACAGTTCAAGCTTTGATCATGATAAAGTTCAAGTTTTGATCACGATACAGTTCAACCTTTGATCACGATACAGTTCAAACTTTGGTCATGATACAGTTCAAACTTTGGTCACGGTACATTTCAACCTTTGGTCACCATACAGTTCAACCTTTGGTCACCATACAGTTCAACCTTTGGTCACCATACAGTTCAACCTTTGGTCACCATACAGTTCAACCTTTGATCACGATGCAGTTCAACCTTTGATCACGATGCAGTTCAACCTTTGGTCACCATACAGTTCNTTGGTCACCATACAGTTCAACCTTTGATCACGATGCAGTTCAACCTTTGATCACGATGCAGTTCAACCTTTGGTCACCATACAGTTCAACCTTTGTTCATTATACATAGTCCATGGGCTAGGGTGGCTCACCGAGCACAAACACACACACACACACTACTGAACTTCTCTGGTATTTTCATGTACCCTAGGGTCCAGTCTTTCAGAAAATGCATGTTAACAGAAAAAAATTTGGGTCTCACTGCCCCCCAGGGACCCTCTTTTTAGCCACACCCCTTTTCTATTGTGACCATCGAAATTAAGGGTACAGAAAACTTGAATGCCAATAACTTTGCTATAAACCAACCAAATTTAAAAACTAGGTATCAGCAAATTCGTATTGATTAGTTCTTCGATGTACATGACACTTCAGTAAGCAAATATGTGCTCGATGATGTCATCGGGTGGGTCAAAAGGTCACAACCCCAACAGAAAATGAAAATTTTCATCTTTTTAGCCTGTAGATTAGGGTGGGTCACCATGCACACCCCACTACTGAACTTCTCTGGTATTTTCATGTACCCTAGGGTCACCTCTATCAAAAAATGCATGCTAACAGAAGAAACGTTGGGTCACACTGCCCCTCAGGGACCACTTTGTGACCACACCCCTTTTCCATTGTGACTATCAAAATTAGGGAACAGGAAGCTTAACTGCCTATAATTTTGCTATAAACCAACCAAAATTTAAAAACAAGATATCAGCAGATTCGTACTGACTAGATCTTCAATTTGAATAACATTTCATAATACAAATTTAGCACATGGACTAACAGTTCAAACTTTGGTCACAATACAGTTTAGCCTTTGGTCACCGTACAAGTTCAACCTTTGATCACCATATAGTTCAACCTTTGGTCACGATACAGTTCAGCCTTTGGTCATGATACAGTTCAAACTTTGGTCACCATACAGTTCAACCTTTGGTCACAATACAGTTCAACCTTTGGCCACAATACAGTTCAACCTTTGATCACCATAAAGTTCAACCTTTGGTCACGATACAGTTCAACCTTTGGTCATGATACAGTTCAACCTTTGGTCACCATACAGTTCAGCCTTTGGTCACCGTACAAGTTCAACCTTTGATCACCGTACAGTTCAAACTTTGGTCACCATACAGTTCAACCTTTGATCACCGTACAGTTCAACCTTTGGTCACCGTACAGTTCAAACTTTGGTCACCATACAGTTCAAACTTTGGTCACCATACAGTTCAGCCTTTGGTCACCATACAGTTCAAACTTTGGTCATGATACAGTTCAGCCTTTGATCACGATACAGTTCAAACTTTGGTCATGATACAGTTCAACCTTTGGTCACCATACAGTTCAAACTTTGGTCACCATACAGTTCAGCCTTTGGTCACCATACAGTTCAGCCTTTGGTCACCATACAGTTCAAACTTTGGTCATGATACAGTTCAACCTTTAGTCACCATACAGTTCATTATTTGGTCATGAAAAATTTCCACCTTTGGTCATGATACAGTTCTACACCTGCTGACGAGCTTTGGTCTTTGTTCTCAGGTAAAACCAGTGTTTTGTCCAAAGAGGACTGGTGGGAGCTGCTGATGAACTGCCTGCTGACTCTCTGTGAGGTGAAGAGATACGAAGAGGCGGAGCTTCTTGTTGAGTCTGCTATGGAGTTCTACTCTTTCTATGACATTAAACCCAAAAGGAAGGAGCTGGAGTTCTTGGGGCTTTCTGCCACTGTCCTCAGCCATGACCACTACAGGGCCTACAACTACATCAGGTCTGGTATTCTTACTTCATGAGTTTTTTCCCTTTGTTTATAATAATATTAGTGCTGGCCACGTTAACGTGTTATTAACGGTACACGTTAAAATAAATAAATAACGTTAAAATAATTAATTATTTTAACGCGCGTTAACGCAGTTAGATTAGTTTCTCACAGACCAACACACATACACACGCACACAAACCGTTGTCACGGGGAGCAGGATCTTGATCACTATTGGCTGTTGAAAGCCATCGTAACACGTCTCAACCAATGAGAGCCTTTGTTGTTGATATGTAGCCTTATAGCGCTGCGCACGCATGAACCAAGAAAATTAGCAGCATAGACAGAAACTCGAAGACAGATACTGGAATTTTACACGGTCACTTTCATATCAAAACCCTTCCTGACGGTGGTTTGGATAAAACAAAAGTTATTTGTAAGCACTGCAGCATTGAACAGTTCTACCACCGGAGTTCTTCGAGCCTGAAATACCATTTAAATTCAAAACACACCGTCGATGCTAACCAACCAGAAGCTGCAACAAACAGTGGAGGGAGGCTTCTGCAGACAAGGCTGGATGCAGCATGTGGACAAAAGGTAGATAAACCAAAGCAAGACAGGCTAACAAATGCTATATCAAAGTGGATAGCTACAAACTGCAGGCCTATTAGCATTGTGGAAGATGTCGGTCTGTGTGACGTCCTTAGGACTGCAATTAATGACAGTACCTATGAGCATCCCTCATGGCAAACCAGGAGACACGCAAGCAAAATGCCAACACTGCATATCTGAAGATTGCTCCTGCATTAGATCCAAGATTCAAAGATCTCAAGAGCATACCCAGACTTGAGAGGGATGAGGTGTGGGTCTCAATCCTTGATTTGCTTAAAGAAAGCCAGGATGCTGCAAAGAAACCTTTGGAAGCAACAACATCAGAGCCACCAAAGAAAAAGTGTGCCCTACTGGCTGCTTCATCAGAGTCTGACTCTGAAGAAGATGAAAACTCATTTGAGAACACTTTGTCTCGCTACAAAACGGAGCCCACTATCAGTACAGATGCCTGCCCCTTGGAGTGGTGGTCCTAACACACAGGAGCATACATGGGACTGGTCTTTACTGACTGGTCTTTACTGACTGGTCTTTACTGACTGGTCTTTACTGACTGGTCTTTACTGACTGGTCTTTACTGCACAGAAGTACTTGGCCACACCTGCAACGTCTGTCCCTTGTGAAAGGTTATTTTCTCTTGCCGGTCATGTTGTACAGAAAGAGTTTCTTTGTCATCTGAAAATGTTAATGAACTTGTTTGTCYCAACAWCTGGCCTGGTGCAGAGGAGTGAGAAAGGWATGGTTGGATGATTGTTTTTTTTCTTTTGACTGAAGTTTCCTTAAAGGAAATCCAGAGTAATCAGGTGCTATAAAGAGTAAAATCTCTTCTGCACAGTTAATTCTGTTTTATTATTATTRTTGTGTTTGCACTTGACCTTTTCCAAAAGGTACACTTTATGTTAAATGTGAATTGTTTTTTATTATTATGCTCCCTGGTTTAAAAAAAGTTTCTGCTTGTAATCTTTCAGAAATAAATGTATGCATATTTCTTAAGCAGTTGTTAATTTGGTAAGATTGTGGGCTTACTTTGAACTCATTTTTATTTCTCTAAAGAAGAACATCTGTGTCCTGGAAAAACCTTTGTTTCATATATTTATATAGAGGAGCATTGATGCTTCTGTTAAGATTTTTATTTTCCTGTTGCAAAGTGCCTTTTCTGTTAAACCTTTTTATATTAAACGTTTCTTAAAAATTCAACATCTTTAAATCTTTATTTAATTTTCTGCATAATAATGAGATTAATCGCGATTAAAATTTTTAATCTATGACCAGCACTAATTAATATATATTCTATTTTTAACAGATTGATGCTTCTGGACAAYGTAAATCTGCCTCAGCTGTGGAATATTTTCAACCAGGTGTTTATATTTTCCTTTGTTTTCTTGAAGACATTATATCAGGGAATGTTTGATTTGCTCGTGTCTGATTGGTTTGTCCTCTCCCCAGCTGACCARTAACTCTCAGCACCAGCGCCACCATCGCTTCTGTCTCCGCATGCTGCTGAAAAATCCAGACAACATCACTTTGTGTGTGCTGTGTGGACATAACGCCATGGTGTCGGGCAGCTTCAAACATGCCCTGGGTACCACCTTCACACGGTTTTAGAGGGTCCACCCTGTGGGTCTCTGTGTAAACCAGCATCTGTGTGTGTTTCCAGGTCAATATGTGCAGGCCCTGAAGTGTCACCCTGAAAACCCGATGCACAGTCTGTATGTGGGCCTCACCTTCTTCCACATGGCCTGTCAGAAGTATGTAGCTAAACGCCACGCTCTGCTGCTGCAGGTACCGAGTCACTACTCGTGTCGTTCCACCCGCAGCATTGTGCGCCAGGTTTCAGGTTCTGTGTGGTGTTTCCAGGGTTTCTCTTTTCTGTGGCGGTACCTGGAGCTGCGAGGAGAGTGTCAGGAGAGCTTCTACAACCTGGGCCGGGCTCTGCACCAGATGGGCCTCACGCATTTAGCCATCCATTATTACCAGCGGGCCCTGGCACTGCCGGGTCCAAAACTGGAGGTACGTACAGTTTAAAATGTTTAATGGTCCACTTACCTGTCTCTNATTGTGAAGCTCTACTTAGAACCTTCTTAAGATCCAATTACTTGAGTAAAATTGTGTTGAAGTAGTACTGCTCTTACTTGAGTAAAATGTTTGGCTATTCTACCCGCCACAGAAGTTGGAAAAGTAAGTTGCAAGTTTACAGTGTAAAAATGGGCTCCTTGACTGGGTGTTAGTTACTTAGGCATKTCGCTAGCTGGCACTGTTTTTTGTAATTTAATGACATGCACATCCGTGTAGACACCTCAGCTTTGAGCATGTAAGCAGTTGCATCCAAAATAGTGAATAACAGATTGTTTGGTTGGACCAAGCAATGGSTTGGTTTGCTCCTTCACACTGAAAAGGGTCCGTAGCAAAGAKAAAACTCTGTCCGCCATTATTGTTGTTCATCCACTCATGCTAGTGCAGAAAAACAATTGACTGCAGTCCTTATTGAGTGTGGGTGACTTCACGTTTTCTGTGGTTTCCCTTCAAACAACACTGGGCATTTCCAAAACACCGCCATGCTAAGACCTGAATTAAAAATGCCTCGGTGTCTGAGAAAACAACCACTGGTGCCATGTACACAAACAAACAAAACACAGCCGAAATGTAGTTTTAATCAAAAATGAGACAAGTTAGTTTTCTCARCTAGTCTTTGTGTGTTGTTGGGGGTTACTGAGATATCAAATAAATACACAATTAGTCYGAAGAACGTTCTAGAACACTGGTTATTTGTCTCGTCTCCCTCTGCTGCCACTGCGAACCATGACTGGGAAACATTTTTTCAAACATCTGATTTATGTTWTGATTGATGTGGAGTTTAAAAATACCAAAATGCAGTTGAAAAAAACTCGTCCCTTCTTCTAGATGGGAGCTGTGATCACTTGCGGCTAAGATGCAAGTCATTTAGTCCAGTGTAATGGTGCCAAACATCTGTACTGTTATGATTTGTAACAAATATACGCACCGTTACACCACTAGTGGTCACACATTTTCAGACAATGTTTTGAATTAACTGAGAGGAAGCACAAATGCTTAAAGGCTGCAGGATAAGGAGATGGTGATGAAAGGGGGAAAAAAACTAATGATGGCAAAGGATAAATGTAGAAAAAACAAGAAGATAAATGGCGAACTTTGCTTCGTCTTTCTCTGGGGAGGCTCGGAGCCCTTGAGCATCGCATCATCTTTCTCTATCTCATCGTTTTGTCCAACTCCATCTTCTCTGCCATGCTTTCACTTTCACCCCTCCTTTCCCTTTTACCTCGTTTTTTTCCCTTCTCGCTCTCTCTCTGTTTGAGACATCTTCAAAGTGAAGCCCTTTGGCCAATCAGCCAGCTGCACAGATCTGCACTGCTGCTTTCTGTTCCTTTCTCCGCTTACTTAAATGTGTGTGGAATCTTTCAACTCTTCCAGTGTGCACTTCCAAGTCGAATATTTTGAGTTGACCCCGCATAAAATAAAAAAAATAAATGTCTTCCACACAAACACACCCACACGAACAGTGAGCAAGCTTCAAGCCGAGTCTCCTCCTTTCAGCCTTGGGGGGACAGAACATCGCTGGTTTCTGTGCGTTTGCTTCGAGCACATCCTCCAAASTGGCAGTCCTCTCAATCATCCAGCTGTAGCCTGAATGTTTCAGAGGTGTTGTGGCGTCTCTGCCTTTTGGGTGATCTTCTGTGAGGACGTATTTAGAAATGCCAAGTCTCGTCAACACATTTTTTATTAAATAATTCAGCGTTAAAGCGATTTAGCAGTAGGATGGCAGCATGAATTTTGGAGTGGCCAAAGAAAAACTGGTCATCCTTAAGGCACATTTAGGCCAARATGGATACTTTCCATGGAAATTTATAAGAATTTGTAAGAATAAATCTGGAGTTTAAAAATTGACGGTTAGCTTTGAAGGAGGATTTTAAATACATTTTTAATATAATCTTGACAAAAACAACCACATTTATTTGTTGTACCATGAAATGTGAGGCAGCACACCTTGAACTGTCACTGGGACCTGCAGGGACAGACGGGACCTGTAGAGACATGTGGTTACAGACGGGACCTGTAGGAACATGTGGTTACAGACGGGACCTGTAGAGACATGTGGTTACAGACGGGACCTGTAGGGACATGTGGTTACAGACGGGACCTGTAGGGACATGTGGTTACAGACGGGACCTGTAGGGACATGTGGTTACAGACGGGACCTGTAGGGACATG